TATAAATAGATTCTCCTCCTAATCACGCCTCAACAGTCCTGTTTACCAAGATCTGCTTTATAAGGCGTGCGGATTGATCGTCTTTTCCTAGTCTCGTCAGCGCATTGATTATCGAACATGGCAGGATGTTGTTGAACGCACCTTCTATGGATAAACGAACGAACGTAGTGATCTCGTGGAGTGCCGTCTCCGTGGATCGGCCCTTTCTATATCGTACCTTCCTATAACGTATGTATATAAGTATTGTAACGAACTGTTATTTCTGCTTCCGCTTGCCACAATTTGCCGCGGCTAGCTCACAGAGTTTCGCGGATCCTTTCCACCGAATTTATAGATTCGACGTGATTGCCCAAGCCTAGAAAATAATACAAATAGCTTGGGATTTTCACACTCTTTATTTCGAGATCTCTTTACAATACAAAAGGTTTTCCTTCTCTCTTTCTCGATGCTTCTTCCGTTTCTGCTGGCTCCGTCGTCAGCGTCCTCTGCGGGTTGTTCACGATACGCCGCCACTACTCCGTCGCCGACGGTGTTCTGTTGCCGCGCTGCTAGCGATTCCGCTACCCTCCGCCCTTTTGCCTTGAAAACACCCCCTTGGGTCGACTACGACTGGTCAGACGATTGGCGGTGCTCTTTCACCCCCTTACTCCCGGAAACCACCGTGCATACGCGCCGGTGACCGGGATTAGAAGTTGGCTGCGGACTGTCGCCTCCGCTACACCGGGACACCGTGCATACGCGCCGGTGCCAGGTTTGGGAGTTTGTTTGCTGACTGCCGCTCCGCTACACCGGGACACTGTGCATTCGCGCCAGTGCCAGGTTCGGGAATGCCTATGCGTGTCGCCTTCGCTACACCGGGACACCGTGCGTACGCGCCGGTGCCAGGTTTGGAAGTTGCCGTGTGACTGACCGTGCGTCGCGCTCCCGCTACACCGGGACACCGTGCATACGCGCCGGGGAACCCGAGTTTGTGACCGGGGTGTTCTCACTCGGCACTCACTCGAGTCGGCCGATCCTTGTTTCGCAGGACCACGCCTGTTGGTTGTGATTTCAGGAATCGGTAAGGCATACGCCAGACTTATCCTTTCCTCAATTCCTTGCAAGGCTACCTGCCGTGTTCGGGAATGGCCCAACTCGATTTCCCCACCCTGGTTTTGTCTTGTGTCTTGTCTTTTACGTTTCGTGTACACCGGGTGTGCGATCCCGAGTAGGTCTATCCTTGTTTCGCAGGACCACGCCTGTTGGTTGCGATATTAGGAGTCGGTAAGGCGTACGCCAGACGTATCCTTTCATCACTTCCTTGCAAGGCTACTTGCCGTGTTCGGGAATGGACCAACTCGACTACCCGGCCCTGGGTTTTTAGAGGAAAGTCCAGCAATGGATCCTTTCCTTATTTGTCTACTCACTCTCCTTGCGTTTGGCTGTCGGACTCTCCAAAGGCGGTCTTTCAACTCAAACAAAACCGAATCCTTTTTAGAATCGCTCTAGCACTTGAATGGCAGACTGTCTCCAGGCGGTCCTCCAACTCAACGCTGCAAGCTTCCTAAAAAGACTCGTCCCGAGCCGCTCCAATGGGCCTTCTTTTATACTGACTGGAGCGCCCGTTAATACCCCTGGATTCTGCTCCTGCCGTTAATCCTGCTTCCAGAATCACGCCACTTTTCGGATGGCGGGTCGCTGTCCGTGGCCCCTCGTTTCCCCCGGCCACGGATCTCCGCTCCTGGTATGTGGTGCACCGGTGGGCTTCTAGGGCCCGCTGCACTCTGCGTCGCAACCCCCTTTTGCTCCTTGCCGCTCCTTTGCTGCTTACTCCGCCACACTTTCTACGGCACGTCTGCGCATCGTGCTGATTCCCCCATTGGACTAATTTTCCATCGTTGCTCCGGAAACCGTAACGTTCCACGTCGATTCCATCTTCCCCCGGGTGGCGGCGTTTACCCCTTCACCGGTCACTGTTACGTTCCACGTAGATTCCGTCCTCCCATGGGTAGCATTACTTCGCCCAGTGACAATGCTATGCAAAAACGAGAATTTCCAAGAGAATTTCGCAAGTCATTTTTCGATGTTCGCGAATAGTGTTTTGTGGTTGTATTCATAAAACTCAATATTTATAATATTAGAAAAAAAAAATTGCTATTGGAAAAAAACTCGCAAATAACGTTTAGGCAGTGTTCCCAGATGTCAAAAGATGCTAAAAAAAATTTTTACGAACAATTTTCGATCCTTTTTGTTACCGATAATAAACAATGAAGTAAAACGAAGTTTCATATGCATAGACCTGGTATTTATAATTTTTAAACGAGATCAAAGTAAAATAAAAGAGAAAAAATGTCAATTTTTTTTAAACGTCCATGAAATTGGTTTATTTCTACCAAAATTAATTGTCGTTAGGTATAAGGCATAGGAAATTCCATCAATTTTAATAAATTATATACATTTCCAATTTAAGTGCACTACCAGCGGCCCGACACTAGACAAAGCAGAAAAATAGAGGTCGACGAGATCCGCCATTTTGAAGCCGCCATTTTGAATTTCCTGAATATTGAATATTTTTTAATATACAACGAATCAAAAGTTCAAAAGCATAAGTTCGTATGTCTTTTCATTTTCACGCAATGCATTCTCAAAGTTTGCTTAATTTTCGGAAAAATCCAAAAGAACCTCTCTTTAAAGCACCAGCTAGCATACATGTATTCATCACAAAGCTTAGAGACCCAGACGACCGAATGGCGCTCGGAAAACGAGTTATTGACTAAAGAAAACTAGAGAGGAAAGTGAGATGCTACGGTAGAGACTATTGTAGTTCGAACATAAAAGGTCTTGTTGTGCATATGTGAACTGCAATGGCTAAGGAATAGAGTTCAAAAGTTTTTAGTCCTTCTATAAGGTATGTTGATATGTAAGCGTGTTAGTAAATGCTGGATATCTACATCACCATTAATAAGGTTGTGTAGAAAAACGACATCCAGCGTTGTTCTACGATTGGTTAATTGGGGACTCCAGACACGTGAACAGTACTCAAGTATAGACGGATCAAAGAAATAAAAAAAACTTTTAGTAATATAGGGTCGATAAATTTATTTGACTACCTTAAACCATTGCACAAAAAAACCATTGCACCTCTAGCCTTATTAACCATTGTGGATATATGGTCGGCAAATTTGAGTTTTGATTCTAATATGACACCGAGATCATTAACCTGAGTTAATTCTTTTAAGGATGTAGTCTCATGTTCCGGCCTACTTTTTAGAGGTTATTTAAAAAAAATTTTTTTGGAATAAAAACTAATGCGATTGTTTCAATTTTCAAATATGTTTTTATAGGCATCATAAACTATTTGAAAATATTTTGTTTAATGCGATTGTTTTAATTTTCAAATATGTTTTTATAGGCATCATAAACTATTTGAAAATATTTTGTTTAATTTACTCTTGTGTAGTTTAATACACTTTATAGCATGCCAAAGTATGCATATAAAACAGGGTTAGGTCCCTGGCGCAGGTGATTTCGACTGCTAGAGTCATCCGAAATAAAAAACTAGAATAGATTATTGTTTTGTAAGCTTATGGCTCTGTCCCGTACTAGAATGAAATATTTTCATCAATAAACAACAAAATGGCGAACTCACAAAACAAAAAATTTATCTTAAATTAATGATAAAAACTAATCATTAAAAATAAATGATTCTAGTACGGGACAGAGGTGTTACTTTTAAGAACAACATATCCAAATTTCAGCTAGATCGGTACCATAGAATTTTGTGAATCGCCTGCGCCGCACACAAAAATGTCGTTCCGAGAAAAACGCGTTTAAAGTTTAGACGCTACCGAGAAACTCATACTTTTCGGTGTAGGCGCGCTCTCAAATATGGGCTTTATCGCTGTCATTATTTGATATGTTTATTTGAAACATTAACAGTACATTCTTAATGTAACATAATTAAGACATGTTAACATTCTACTTTCAAAATATGTGACAAAAAAAAAATCGATTTTTTCAACTTCACACATGAGAATACATCCTTAAGACAATCACATAGAGAAAATACATATCCTGGAGAGGGCAAGAACGATAAAAAGGCGTAATTTTTTGTGAAGAACCGAAATAATAATGAAGGCAAAGCTTAGCTTCGTCTGAATACATAAGAACCAATAAGTTCGTTAAAGCAAGGGGAAAGTCGTTAAGAGCAAGAGAAAACCGTTTGTCTGTCTATTTCTTCGTGAACTTTTTTTTATGTCTTCTAGGTGCCTTATAACTGATTGATTGAAAATGCCATAACTTAAGTGTTTTTATGCCCGGTACTCGTAGAGTACAAGGGTATGTTGTAGTCGTGTGAATATGTAACATAGAGAACGAATCATATCCGACCCCATAAAGTATGTTTATTCTTGATCAGAATCAACAGTCAATTCGATATAGCCATGTCCGTCTGCCCGTATGAATTCGTGGATCTTAGAGATAATAATAATAGAGATATGGGATTTGGCATACATTTTTTTCCGTGATTTTTCATTATTTTGTTATTAGACCCCGATTTAAAAAAAAGACGTCAGGCATTAGAGATCTAATTCATAACAACTTGGACAAGAAATTACAAATTTAATTCAATTTTACATTTTTATTTTCAAATCTCTAACAAAAAGTTCCGTCCTCATAGCTCAACTTGTAAGTACAAAAAAACACTAACATAAACTTTTACAAATAAAGAATGTGTTTTGCACAAATAAAGTTTACAAGTTTACCAGCAAAAACTGATGGTTATACCCTTGCAGAGGTTTTTGTCGGTTTTTACATGAGCTGAATTTTAAGGCGGTTGACTTTGCACACATTATTTTTTTTCGACACGCAGTATACAAGTCGGAACGACCGACTTTTTTATAGCTGCCATACAACGGATCGGAAAATGCCATAACTTTGACCAATTCTTTTTTCGACCAATGGATCCGATCTACCAAATTTCATAAGGATCGGACAACTAAATCTTATAGCTAGCACATAAATGAACGATCGGAAATGACCCAACTTTTGTATTTTTGAAGATAGAAGATTAAAACTTTTGTTAAATTTTGTATTTTAAGAAATTGGTTGTAGGAAGTTGATTCTCATAAGGGTCCGCCAACTATATCCGATATTTGCGATATATATCCGATCTTAACTGCAACGGGTATATCAGCTGCGGCTGCGCCAGAAGTTCCAGTTTTCAATAGCAGGAATTATTTTAAATAAACCATTTACAAGTAAGTATACGTTGGGAAACTAGGGACAAAATATCTGCAAGTTCAAAAAAAAATTTTTTAAATTTTTATTAAAATAAAATTTTTTTTTTTTAATTTTTAAATAAAATTCTTGTTTGGGTATTTTATGTGTTTTAATTACCTTTTTATGTTACATTTCTATGCAAAAAGCAGCCACCCGATGCATAAAAAAGCAAGATATAGAAACAATTTTGAAAGAGTTTGTTCATCCTCGTATTGGGTTGTTCCACGATTGGCTGCTAAAAAGAAATTAAAAAATGGTATTTAGCATAATTTCTAAAAGCACAGTTAAGTATATAAAACTCTAAATAGGGTAGCCCATACTGCTGTTTTTTAAATCTATGTCCCATACACTTATGAAAATAAGCATATGTTCAGTTAACTGATTCCGTTTATACCGTATGCCCTTGAAATAGGTGGACCAGTGTTCTAAACATACTAAGCTGCGAACAGAACTGAAAAATTTTAACTTAATACTTATTTATTTTAAAAACAGAAGTTGGGTCTCTAAATAATTTCATTTAAAATAAACCACTTTGCTCCCACGTGAACACAAAATATCCTTCCATTTTTGTAAAGTAAAATTTGGAGAATCCTTGGAAACTGTTTTCTCTTGATTACCATTAAAAGGGGAGAATCTACCTAAGATAAGGACAAAAACGCCTTTTCCTTTCTTGGGATATCGTTTTACTTAGGTGCTTTTTAGCTTATTTTATAAAGGGGTATTATCGAACTATTTGACCCGTCATTCTTATACCTTCGCAGATGGTACTATAATTTTGGTACTTCAACACAATATAGTACATATATTCTTGATCAGGATCACCTTGTGAGTCAAAATAAGCTGCTGTGTGTCAGTCAGATAATAGCTTGGAACCTTGGACTTTATCTTAGAGCTGCTATATAACTGAACGATCGTAAACGTCACAACTTTGGTGTTTTTAAAGATTAAAGGTTGGAACTGTGTTTTTTTTTTTTAAATTTATATTAAAAAAAAAGGATTTTGATAAATCCGATGTATTTTGATGAATGATAAGTTTTTAACTCATCTGTATATACCAGGAGGTCGAGGTTCTCCAAAGTTTAATGAAGAAGTAATAAAGCCAAATGGAAAGGCGCCTATGCCAAAAGACATGTGAAAACCTTCACCAAATCCAAAGCCTGGAAATCCAGCCGTAGGCTCCGGCTCAGTACGTTGACCTGCTGGACGGGGTGGAACTTTGTTGCTGTAAACATAATTTCTTTGTGTTACTATAAATAAAAAATTTAATTTATAAATATTTTGTACCGTGGGTCTTCTCGTCGTATACTATTGCGTCCGTAAAGTGGTATGACTTTGTCTTTATCGACAGAAGCTTTGCACACTGGACAGAGTTTTCGGTTAGGTCGAGTTAAAAGCCATTGATGCAAACAGGGCCAACAGAATAAATGACCGCACATACTGACAACGGCATCTTTAGCTGTATCCAGACATATGTTACATTCATAAAGAGATTCGTCGTTCAATTCCCGCTCCTTGTCATTGTTGCTTTTTTCTGGATTTACTCTAATGGAATCCAATGTTGTTGCAACACTTTCACTTTCTGCAATGTTATTCCCAATGATAGAATTATTTGACGTAGAATAAGATGACTTTGGCATTGATGTTTCTGCCGAATCAGATTCAATATGACAATGATGGCTTGTTGAAGGCTCTTCTAATGATACGTCTGTAGCTTCTATAGTCCATCCAATTTGGTTACAACGCGTAGGTCCAATTAATGCGGGTTGCTCATTAGGATTGTTAGAAATCGATGACGTACTAGGTAGATCTGATGACTTCATCAATTCCGGCCGTTCCATGACGTATAAAATTTAAATTTTCGCTTTAAAATTTCGCTCTTATTATAAGTAATCTAAAAAAACAAACAAACGTTGAACAAAGTTATTGGTAGCTGTATTTATTTTATGAATGGTTATGGTATATGGTATATTTTTTATGGTTTTTTATAGTATATAGTATATTTTTTAATTATGGTATATTTTTTATGGTTAAGTCCATAGAGGGATAAACTAACTTTCGGACGGAGGCGAAGTTCATAAGATCAGATATATATCGCAAGTTAAGATCAGATAAATATCGGAAATATCGGATATATATACTGCACGTAAAGGTAAAAGAAATATGTGCGCAAGTCGGTAGCCATAAAACTGAGGCTAGTTCTCGTTGAAACAGACAGACGGACATGTCTACATATATCGACTCACGAGGTTTGGAGGTGGAAGATGCCTTTTACTTCTTCTTTTAATATCCATATAACCAATTTGGTAGGTCGGATCAATTGGTCTGTAGGATAGAATCTATAGCAGTCTATAGCAAAATCTATCTATAGCAAAAGTCATACATGTTTAAAATTTGAGTGTATTCGACACACAAGAAAACAATGAGAGCTAAGCATTCACTGAGCGAAAAAACGTAATTTTCAATTTCATTTTTCGTTAATTCAAACGTTCGAATGGGCCCTAAAATAGTGTATTTTATTTTAAAGAAAGCTTTTCTAGCAGCAATTCTTAAACAAACGAAAAACTACGCTTGTCAATGTATATTTTCCTATAGGAAAACTTGTTCCAACCCAATTTTTTTCTCAGTGGAAACATTTCCTTTTTTAAGTTTGGGCTGTCAAATAAGGCAATTTCGGAGCAAATGAGAGAGCTTCTAAACTAAATTTGAGACAGCTCACACTGTCAGTTTGCCGGCAGCGCTGCGGCAGAATTTCCGACCCTATTCACGCGTGCTATGGAAAATTAAAGTTTTCCCCCACTGATCTATAGGATAGGATCTATCATCACGAAACAACTATCAAACACGAAATTTTCGTCATGTACATTTCAGTTATATGGAAGCTATAGGATATAGACGGCCGAAATTTGGTATGTTGTATAATTATTCCAAAGATAGAATCTATTGCTACTATAGGATATAGTCGCCCGATCCCGACCGTTTCGACTTATATACTGCGTTATAAAAAAGGAGGGTGTGTGAAAATTCAAAGTTGATAGCTTTAAAATTGAGAGACTACTTTGTGTACAGACGCACATGCTTATATCAACTCAGGAACTGATTCTGACCAATAATATACGAGTAAGGTGACTTTGTATTTTCAAGAAGAACTATTAATTTATTTATCAATATTTATGGTGTCCCCTTCAAAGTAGTGCCCCTCAGATACAATACACTTATGCCAACGGTTTTTCCAATCCTCAAAGCACTTCCCATAACAGTCTTTATCTCTTCAATCGTTGCAAATCACCTTCCTTTTATAGGTATCTTTAGTTTTGCGAACAATAAAAAGTCAAATGGGGCCAAATCCGGTGAATACGGTGGCTGCGGCATTATTGTGGTGTTTTTCTTGGCCAAAAAATCTCTCACGAGCAAAGATGAGTGATCAGGGGCATTGCAAAGTCCCAACTTTTCTCTCCTTTTCTGACTTCATTGAAACTCAACACACACCGCAAGTGAATAAGAAGGCGCAGAAGTGCCTATTGCTTTCATGTCAAAGAAACTAAATCCTTTTCAACGTCAATATACAGTTACCGAGAAGAAGTGTTATGCTGGTGTGTTTAAAGCTGTATAAAGTGTTTAAATTTAGAGCTTATGTCGAAGAAAAAGGTTTTTTAATAGCCACAGATCATGGTTCCATAAAATGGATCATGACCCAAGCAGATCTAAGCTCGCGCCTCGCTCGTTGGTCTCTTAAACATGGATTCCATGGATACAACATCAAAAAAATCTTACCTTATTAAAATTATAGGTAAACTAGCCAACCCCGGCAATCGTTGTTTTGCCCTTTTTTATTAAGAACAAAATTTTTTAGTTCAATAAAAATACCTATTTACTTTGAATGTGTGGGGAAGTGCTTTTAATCGAAGGCGTTGAAAATAATTTAAGAATAATTTATTTTGGTTCATAAATATTTTGTTGGAAAAAAAGATTATTCTCTCAGCGCAATGGAGTGTAGAATATTCTTGGTTAGTCCGTCTTTAGCCAGCACAAATAACCTGTATGGTTTTCCCACCCGAGAACATGCCACATACAGTTGTCCGTGGGAAAACCATGGTATTTCCAAATCTAACCCACATACAGATAATGTTTGGCCTTGTGACTTATTGATCGTCATAGCGACCAAATGACCAATGACATTGTATGACAACATGTCCCCAGGCAACAACTGTTGTATTTGTATATTTTATGCATTGACGTCCACATTTTTTACTGACAAAATCGCTCTTTCTTTCAATTGCTTATGATTAATCTGGGTATAATCTGGATGAGCATGAGAAACACCAACTGGCTCATTTTTAAATTTAAGTGCATGAAAATAAAGGCATTTCTTTTCCAAAGTACCAAATCACTTTCGAATGAGCAGAATATTCAACATCAGGTTCGTACTGGAATGCTAGTTGAAGAAATGGCCCTGATGTAATTGCTCGATGATCTTTTTGGCGTTGTTGGTCAATTTTTCTTCGTCTAACTATGAATCTTCGCGCATCTCTTCGTTGCTGTTTTTTTTGTTGATTACGTTCATCTGTGTGAGCGTCATTAATTATCTTCGATTTGTTGACCTGATCTTCGTGCTCTTCTATCTCGCGCTGCTGTAGAATTGACTGTTCGACGACTCAAATTAACTCCTTTGCGGTTTTTTGGAATTATTGACTGTAGATCCTTTCAAAATCATGGCATTAATGATATTTTGTCATAAATTTCCTAATTACTAATCGTGGACCATTACACAGCAGTGGTGAGTTCAATTTATGAAGTAAAATGATCGCAGCTCCAATCTTCAATTGTAAATGGTGTGGCATGCCATGGCTAATCCAATGAATTTAAAAACTCAATTGTCAATATGACACCAAGTCCCCAGGCAACAACTGTTGTATTTGTAAATTTTATGCATTGACGTCCACATTTTTTACTGACCAAATCGCTCTTTCTGTCAACCACTTATGATTAATCTGGGTAGAAATCATAAGTGATTAATCACAAAATTTCACGAAAATATGTCAAGCCGTTTCCGAGGAGTATAATGAGTGACACCGTTACATGAGAATTCTGGATCTATTATATAATGATAATACTGCGCATTTGTTTCATTGTATTGATTGACGCCCTAAAAAGTTATTTTAAAAAAGTGGATGTGTGAACGCCCTCAACGCCCCAAGAAACGTAAAAAACCAAATATATATGCCATTTTTTAAGGTAGACCTTCCAATTTTAATTGGTAACATTTTTATATATTTGTACCCTTGCAGACGGTATTATAATTAGGGCCAAAAGTGTGCAATGCTCCGCCCGAAGTTAGCTGTCCTTTCTTGTTTTGTATAGCTCTGTAAAGTACATTTTTATTTTTATACCCTTGCAGAGGGTATTCCGGATATATATCGCAAACATCGGATATAGTTGGCCGATCCTTATGGGAATAGGAATATATAACCCAATTTATTACAATACAAAATCTAAAAAAAGTCCCAAACTTCTATCTTCAAAAAAACGAAAGTTGATATTTCTACCAAGTACCATTTCCGATCGTTCAGTTATATGGCAGCTATGGGATATAGTCGGCCGATCCTAATGAAATTTGGTAGGTTGGATCAACTGACCAAAAATAGAATCTGTATTAAATTCCAGCTTTCTATCTTCAAAAACACGAAAGTTGGGTCATTTCCGATCAATCAGTTATATGGCAGCTATAGGATATAGTCGGCCGATCCGGGCCGTTCCGACTTATATACTGCGTGCAAAGGAAAGAAGGGTGTGTGCAAAGTTTCAAGACGATAGCTTTAAAACTGAGAGACTAGTTTGCGTAAAAACAGACAGACGGACAGACAGACGGACAGACGGACATGCTCATATCAACTCAGGAGGTGATCCTGATCAAGAATATATATACTTTATAGGGTCGGATATGTCTCCTTCACTGCGTTGCACACTTTTGACCAAAATTATAATACCCTCTGCAAGGGTATAAAAATGCCAATTTTTTTTTTAAACGTCCATGAAATTGGTTTATTTTTACCAAAATTAATTGTCGTTAGGTATAAGGCATAGGAAATTCCATCAATTTTAATAAATTATATACATTTGTAATTTAAGTTTACTACCAGCGGCCCGACCCTCGACAAAGCAGAAAAATAGAGGTCGACGAGATCCGCCATTTTGAAGCCGCCATTTTGAATTTCCTGAATATTGAATATTTTTTTTTATCGTTAATAAACAACGAATCAAAAGTTCAAAAGCATAAGTTTGTATGTCTTTTCATTTTCCGGCAATCCATTCTCAAAGTTTGCTTAATTTTCGGAAAAATCCAAAAGAACTTCCCCTTAAGAATGTAGTCTCATGTTCCGGCCTACTTTTTAGAGGTTATTTCAAAAAAATTTTGTTTGTAATAAAAAATAATGCGATCGTTTCAATTTTCAAATATGTTTTTATAGGCATTATAAACTATTTGAAAATATTTTGTTTAATTTACTCTTGTGTAGTTTAATACACTTTATAGCATGCCAAAGTATGCATATAAAACAGGGTTAGGTCCCTGGCGCAGGTGATTTCGACTGCTAGAGTCATCCGAAATAAAAAACTAGAATAGATTATTGTTTTGTAAGCTTATGGCTCTGTCCCGTACTAGAATGAAATATTTTCATCAATAAACAACAAAATGGCGAACTCACAAAACAAAAAATTTATCTTAAATTAATGATAAAAACTAATCATTAAAAATAAATGATTCTAGTACGGGACAGAGGTGTTACTTTTAAGAACAACATATCCAAATTTCAGCTAGATCGGTACCATAGAATTTTGTGAATCGCCTGCGCCGCACACAAAAATGTCGTTCCGAGAAAAACGCGTTTAAAGTTT